GCCCCGCCTACTCCCCTGCCCAGCCTCCCACCCACACCTCACAGCCCCACCCACACCTCTCCCAGCTCCACCCCCTCCCCACACTTACTTCTCCCAGCCCCGCCCATACCTCTCCCAGCTCCACCCCTCACCCGCCCTTACCTCTCCCAGCTCCACCCCCTCCCCACACTTACTTCTCCCAGCCCCGCCCATACCTCTCCCAGCTCCACCCCTCACCCGCCCTTACCTCTCCCAGCCCCACCCACTCCCTTAGACCCTCACCCCCACCAAACCCGGGGTCTCTAACAAGGCTACAAAGGCCTTCACTTTGGGCAGGTCTGGGGGTCTCCCCCAGGGAGGGGGGTCTCCCCCAGGGTTTTATTTTGCCTCTTCTAACCCAGCCCTGGGAGGTGACGGTCTCGCCCAAAGCCGCACAGTTGGCAAATGGTCCACCCAGAATTCAGAGCTGGGTGCGTAGCCACCCAGCCCGAGGCGGATCCCACAGGCCAAGTCCCCCAGCATCACGTGTGGGGTGTGGGGTGTGGGGTGTGGGGTGTGGGGTGTGGGGTGTGGGCCGAGCGCAGGCGCTGCAGGCTGCGGAGGGTAGCCCCGCCCCCACCTGTGCCCACACTCACGTCCATGTCCTCACAGAAGGCCGAATAGGCCCCATACTGGAGGCGGCACTGGTGGCCCACGTCGTAGAGGACCCCGGGCGGCACCGAAGGGAAGTCGATGACATCCTTGGTGGGAGCATCGTCCAAGCACAGGCCCCACCCCCGGCTGCAGAGATGGAACAGGGGACAGGGCAAGGGGGACAGCCTGAGAGAGCCATCAGGGAGGCCTCGGAGGGGCGGGGCGGGGCGGGGCGGGGCAGGGCGGGGCGGGGCGAGGGCGGGGGGGGGGGGGGGCGGCGGGGAGGGAAGAGCACTAAACCTGTAGGAAAACTGCAGCCTCCTCGCTCACCCCAGCCTCCCCTCCGACCTCCAGCCCAGCATTCAGGCCTTCCTGCTCCGTGTCTCCGGGTCTCCGGACACACTCAGGCTCCCTAACCAACTGGCCCCACCCCCAGGGCCACGGTTCCCACCCACGTGCTCTAGCACTCTCCTGTGAGGACTGTCTCCTGGATCCCCAGCCCAAAGGCCCCGCCTCAGAAGCCTCCAGACCACCAAGCCCCCTCCTGGCCCTGCTCTGAATTCCTGCAGGTCCTGCCGGCCCCGCCCCCCCCTCCCCCCCACCGCATGAGGCCCCGGCCACTTCAGTGAGGGATCTGGAGAGCATCAG